ACTCTTTCCACCGATAATTCACTCATGACAATGTGTGTTTGCTGCTTTTCCCTTCACATTCTCCAGTTGTTTCATCTTTGTTCTCTGTTGCAAGTTCTTTGCTCCACCACACTTCTCTTCATTTTCTTCACTTGGTTTAGGTCGGTGTCACCCAGCATCTCTGCCAGGTCACTCCAATGTCCCTCAGCCGAGGCACCCAGGGATTCCATGCTTACCTGTCGTGTAACTAATCCGCAGTCACCACTTGACCATAGCCCGGTCAAGTGCAATGAGGGCATAAGAGTCCTTCTGTGGTGTTACTGACTGGGCATGCTGCAAGCGATGGTGGCGCCTGTAGTTTGTGTTCAGGGCACACTGAGCTGCATGATGGGAGGAAAGCTGCGGGGCTCTTGCAAGGGCAAACAGAAGGGAGGCTACCATGGGTTAGTGAATGATTTCTGAGGCTGACAGCCTGCTTCCTGACCAACTCTGAGGGACTCACAGGAACAAAGATGACAGGCTGAGTTATACGTTCTGGCACAGGACGAGCTGGCTATCCTTGCTTTAATTATCTCATCCTAAAACCTTAATTTTCATAAGGAAAGTGAAATCCCAGTTGTATTTAATTTAGGTCTCTTACGATTCTTTAGTCGTTGCTCTGTTTCTCAATTATAGCTTGATGTTATGACAATTTTTTAAATTCTTTTTCTGTGGAAGGAAATGTTCCCTGTTTAGCTTGGCTTTTCTGCAACATTTAATGATTGCTTCCCCATGGCAATTGTCAATGAACCTGGGACAATTCAAATCACTGGTATGCCTTAGCTTTTTTTAAGGCTGCTCAGGTCACATTCCCATAGTTATTCAGCAGACTAGAAGACATAATCCACTTGTAGAGCTCATTCCCAAATTAATATTTATTTTTTTTACCCTCAGGATTATGTGGACAGGTCTCTCCTTCCAGCATAGCAAAATAGGCTATAAAATGGAAGTTCTGTTTGCTACAAAAGCCCTTACATCACATTAACAAATTGTCATTAAGCTTCAGTAAAATTTTTTTCCTGTGCAGAGGAAGTCTGACCCTGGCCAACAGAGCCTTAGTGCTTTGCCTTTTCTGGTACATCTCAGGCTCTTTTGATTCATTTCTTCCCACTCTTTAGGAGGAGATTCTGTACTTACAATCCCATAGAAATAGCTAGCCCTTTTGCCTTCTTCCCTTCTATTTTCTGTGCATTGCTTTGAGTCTCCTTATTGTTTTAGAAAGCTGCCCATCCCTGTAGTTACCAGCACTCAAAATTCATAGAAGATGTTGAGTTCATTCTTGTTCTGCAGGTTAGGCTTTTTGCTCCTTATCTTCCTCAAGCCCAGCTTGTGGTAAGTAAGTCGTAAGTTGTAAGTCACCTGCTGGGTGAGGCAGTTTTCAGTTGGCTGAGCTGCCATGATTTTTTGCTGGAACTGTTACTGTTCTTTATCAACTGTTCAGTTTCTGTCCTATAGGAAGGTGTGACATTTGGGTGGTTCCCAAGAAAGACTTTTCCCAAACATAGGGTAGGCCACTAGCACAGCCAAGAACTATCACTGTTTCTTTATTTAAGAGTTATTTTTAAATCTTCTAAATCTTTAAATCACTTTGCTATCTTTAAATCACTTTACTGTGCATGATGTGTTTTTTTACTGCATTCCATTGTGTCTGCACAGCTTTCATCCAGGATTCCTCTGGTGATTTATTATTATCTGGAATTAACTCCAATGTAAAATACTGTACGTTTTGACTGGCATTTTGTTGCCAAGCTAACTTTTTTGTTGGTGGTGGTCAAGTTTGTTTTCAATAGTCTTTGTAGCATTAGAATTTGCAGGATAAGTACAGGTACCAATAAAATACTGTGATGGTTTTTTTTTCAAGTTGGCTAATGCTGTTTAAAAAAATAAACCATGAGATATTATTACAAATAGCAACACTGTATTCTTTCACCAACAGCAATGAAAGAGTGGTACAATTGGGAAAGAATGTCTTTAATTTTAAGAATTAAAATAAATTTATTTTAACGTTAATCAGTATGGGCTTAATAAGCTGTACTCCTCCTCCTCCTGATGGTTTTACCTCTACATTACCAGGAGATGGCACCACGCATATGTATTATCCGCACCCTTTTATTTTAATATTGAACTACAGCAAGTTCCTTCTACTGTTACGTATTTCAGTTTAGAAAAGTTTTAAATGCATTTCTTTTGCTAGTTTTTAAAACATTGTTTCAGAATGAGGGAATTTTTTTAACTTGATGCCCAGTTTTGATGTTTACCTTTGGTTGCTGTTGCACTCAAGACAATTTAACTGATGAACAATTATTTTTAAAGGCTTCAAGTGAAGACTGGAATGCTGCTTCAGAATCAGTAAAAGTGGAACTTGAATGAGCTTTCCGTGCCTTGAAAACTCCATACTGCTTGATGATGTCATGCCACAGTGGTAACAGGTAATGTGAAATCCACTGAATCCAGCTCTTTATGATTGAATCTCCTTTACTATTTTATCCCCTGCCTGAAGGTTGGTAATTTGAAAGTT